ATATATATATGTATACTGCACACAGACTCTTACGTCAATGTTTTTAGTCTTTCAAAAAAATTAAAAAATATTCCTAAAAAAGATTAAAAAATATTCCTAAAAAAGATCGAAAACACCTGTCCTTTGTGAACTCCACAAAATATAAAATATAAAATAAATAAAATAAAATAGAACAGAAATGAATGCGAAGTAACACTCATTCTCTTTTGCAAATAAAAGAGATCGTAATAAAAAGAATAAAAATAAAAATAAAAATGTGAGTGTGATATATTAATGAGGGTCTTTTCATTAAGGTTTGTTCATTTCTTTTTGGTTTCCGTTCATTATACGTCCTGTCGCATTGACTAGCCATTTTTTAATAGGGGATGCGATTTTCTCGTCTGTTACATCCATATGTGACTTTCGGACCACATCTGGAAAAAAAAAAAAAATTTTTTTTTCATTACTTATATTTTCTTTATTTCTTAACAAATTAGAGTATGTAATTTTTATTTAGTGACAATTCGTTATATGCTTTATTGGTATAATATATACAAAACAAATAATTGAAAAATGATAATCTTAATAGTTAATAATTGCATACATTTTTAATTAATTAAATAAACAAATGCTAGGTATTTACGAATGTCTTAATTTGTAAAAGAATAATACTAGTATTATTTAATAATAAAAAAATAAAAATTTTCAAGATTTTTACTTACGCATAATTACTTTGCATATCTCGAGTTGTGAGAAAATTTGTTTCTTTCTCGTTCCATACCAACTGTATTTTACTGCCAGTTCATTTGATAGTATGGCTCTCATCAGTCGTACGCAAGATGTTCTCAAATCTTCGGACATTAGCCGTCCCAATTGCTTAAACTATAATTATAATTATTCAAAATTAGTATTATTCTAAATTAATTGAGATCAAATTAATTGGTTGTCCCTCCTCACACAGTATATTTTATCCGAGGAACGTCCTGGGAACGTCTTTAGAATATAGGAAGTTCTGAACCTCTTTATCACGTTCCTTAGAGAACTGTACTGTATGGGTTCTTTTTTTCAAAGCTACTTTGCAAAATTGAAATACAAACATTAAACTCACCATTTGGCTTCGAAACACTGCATCATCTTTTAATTTTGTTTCCATTATTTGTAGATCTTTTTCATCTTTTAATGGCAAATTGTCAAAAACATTTTCTTTGTTTTCCTTACTATCCAAAATTGAACATTTTTGTAAAATAACCTTTTGATATGTATTCATATTATTTTCAATTTGATTTAATTTCTTTTCTAAATCCATTAGTTTCTGTGTGACAAAACATTGAAAATTGTCAGAGTCTGTAAGACAATAAAAATATTTTATTCATATATTTTTTTTTATTTTTATCCAAATAAAATATTAAATTTTTTAAAAATTCAACAGATTAAGACATAAAAACGGATTTAAAAAATATATGCAAAATTGTTTAAGGATAAATTACGCGTATGATTTTAAAATATAATGAATAATTATAATACACTGATCAAAGATTATAATTGCATACTTTGTTCTGGCACTGCTAATGGGTCATTACTATTATCTTTGTTACCACTGTTTACTTGTTCAATCTCAATCAAGTCTTCACTGTATTGTGAATCTGAAAGTAAAAAAACGATGTTAACAATGTTATCATTTACATTTCAATATAATTTTAATGTTGATTTAATTACATATATACAACATCTATGTCTAAAGTAGTAAATTATTTCATCTTTATTTAACATTTAACTAACAATAAGAATGAAATTATTCATTGTATTACTATGTGAATTAACTGTTTTATTGGAAAATTCTCTATATAAAAGGCATATTTATACGTGTAAGCAAAAAAAAAATTTTAATTTTTTAAAATATGGAATAAAATAAGAAAAATATTACACAAAATTTACAATAAATTTACAAATATTTTACGATAAATTTTATTGTGTAAAAATTATTGCTAATCGTAAAATAAAATAAAAATTACTTGCATACTAACCTTCTTTTTCATTTAAATTCGAACTTAATGTTAAAAGTGGGTCCTTATTGTTACCACTGTCATTATTAATATTTCTATAATGGATATCTTCAATGTTGACATGAAATGATGACGTAGGATGTTGTTTGAAAATTTGTAGTAATGATGTTAGAGCAGTATACGAAATTTGATGTTTTACAACCCATGCAACAAGATCATGTTTCCAATTATTTGTTTCAAAAATATCTATTATGTTTTCATTTTCAGATACGGGATAAGATATTGATCGTTCAGAAGAACTAGATGATTCGGAAGAACAGATCGAATCCGATGTATCTGCAATATGTAATAATGCGTTTAATCTTTTGATTAATTATTATCATTTACACGTAACACAAATATATCATTACTTTCATGAACATCATTATTGATATAAACAATGTTTTTACAATCTTGAGTATCTGGCTTAATCGTGGGAACACTTTTTGAATATCTCATATATGGCTTGCTGTGAATATTAGTATTTACAATAATATTGCGGGTAACATTAGAAATCAAGTCAGATCCTAGTTTGCACGATGTACATGAACGTTTCGTTGATACACGTGAAGTCCTTCGTCTCTTTCCATACATTTTAAATCTATTAAAAACATTATATATGTTTAAAATATCATATTATCAACGCAAAATTATTATAATGTGTAGATAATAAAATATTAAAAAAGAATACAATTGCAAAATTATATTTAAAAAATGAGAGCAAATTATAAAGACACATTGTATTTGAAAATATACTAACTATTAATTAAAAACATAGAAATCAATTTGAATATTGGTAGTTTAATTACACACACACACACACACACACACACACGCGCGCGCGCGCGCGCGTACACACATAGCTTAAAAAAGTTTTTATAAAAAATTTAAATATATGTATATTATACAATATATGTTATTTCAATTATACATATATTTGTAAAATTGCATTTTCATACTGTTCAATATTCAGATAGCACAGAAAGTTCATAAGAATTTAATCGTATGTTTAGTCATATATTATTAATTCAGAGTTCATTTTTAGGTGAAAAAATTCTTTTTCATAATTTCTAGAAAAAGAATTCTTTTTGCATCTGAAAATTAACTCAGAATTGATAGGTACATACAATTGACTTCTTTTTGAACTCTCTGCGCTATCTGGGTAGCAATATCTTTCTTATAATTTAAACATAATTATATGTACAAAAGTATACTTAAGAAAACACATAAAAATAACAACCTTAATTGCTATCTTTACAATTATACATATATGTATATATTTTTTCTAGAATAAACTTTCAATGCAATTATAACTTCTTTTAAATTCTATAAGAAAAACTTAAAAAATGATTATTTTAAATTAATATTAAATCAATATTAATATTTAATATTAATTAATAATATTGAATCAATAGCATAGCATATTAATAATAGTACATAGTTATAGCATATTTATAGTATTAAAATTATTTCTTCATTCAAATTTGCATTTTATTAAATGTGTCCCTTACAAGTACCACCTTTTGTATTCAATAATAATAGTTTATAAACAAAAAGAAATCAATATTTGAAAGATTATTCAAAAAATTTGTACATTTTTATATATCAAAATGTAATATTTAATTATAATTCATAAACAGTACTTAAAATTTCAATTAAAAAAAGACAAAAAATTTTCTGAATACAAAAAATTATAGTAACCATTTTATTACATTAGTTTGTGAAGAAAACATAAAAATTTTTTTTAAATTTTAATTTTATTTCTATATGTCAAAAAGTTTTTGAATATAATTAGGAAACTAAAAAATTATATCCTAGAAAGTGCAAAAAGAAATCAATCATATATCATCAATTCTAAGTTAATTTTCAGATGCAAAAAGAATTCGTCTTTTACAATAGTTCTGAAAAAGAATTCTGTTTGTACCTCAAAATGAACTCAGAATTAATACATGACTGAAAATATACAAATGAATTCTTTTTGAACTCTCTATGCTATCTAGAATAGTACTAGATATATCTATAAAGATTTAGAATATCTTATTCTTATAAAAACTGAAAAAAAGTTTTAGTTCTCAAGTATATAATATACATATATATATGTACCTATATATATATATAT